ACTTTATTTATTTTTTTAAATAGAGGCTGGTTCATTTGGGTTAGAAGCAGTCATTTTCTGATGCAGCAAGTCCTCTCAATAAAGTTGCACACTGCCACCTAGTGAGGGAGGGAAAGTATGTTTTGTGCTTAAAGGGAAACCAACAGTGTCATTATCTGCAGAGGTAATTGTGTTGAGAGCAAAAGAGAAATGCAATGACATTACCCTATGCATCAGTCATCTAAACAATTGTGCAATCTATTTACAAAGTTATAACAAAGATGATTTTGATTAATACAGTGCACATCAACCATAAGAGTTATTAGACCCAGTGGGGTTTAATAACTTGCTTCTTATTGCAGCAATAACTCACGGCAGTTATTCTAATCCAAAAGTATAAATTTGGTAATCCAAATATGAAAAACTATTAAAAACTATAGAAAAGTTTTAAAAATGGATGCATGGCACACTCGTTCAAAGACAATGTACACTTGTGCAAGGTCAGATTTAGCCCCCCCCTCCTTTAGGGAATTGTATATTAATCCCAGCTTGCAACACAGCTGCGGCAGGGTTTGCTTATTGAAATGATTTATCTTTATTGTTTTGCCTCTAGTCTACCTGTGATAATTCATAGTGGCAAGATGTAATATGGGAAAAAAGATCAATTGATTAGAGCGCAAATGTGACTTTGGAGAGGTAAAAAGAGGTGCAATGTGGTCTGAAAGTGCTTCACCACTGATACTACAGAAATAAATGTATCTGTGGCAAAAAAGGTATTCAGTTATTTCCACATCAGGGCTCCAATGAATGGAAAGTTGTTAGCACAAATGTTTTATCCAACAGGACCAGTGCACCAGTCTGTTCCAGTATATTTGCTGTAATATTGATTTATTGTGTACAACAGCTGAATAAACAGAGATCAGAGGCCGATTCCCATCATAAAATTGGTGCTGCCAAGCTATTTTAGGCTTTGAAATTCAAATCCTTCAGATAACTTAAAGACCTCATGGAGCGAAAGTCAGAACTCAGTTTGTGTGGTTTAGAAAATGAATTCATGGGAAGCTGAGCTTTTGGAGGCTTCATTTTATGGCGAATGCTAGCTATATGCTAAAAAGCAACAACAAAACTGGAAAAAAAGAAAAGATTTTTTTTTTTTTATGATGTCTAAGCCTAAGCACTCCTAAAGCAATAAACACAACAGTTACAGTGGTCCTGACTATAGTAATACAGGAAAACTGTGTTAATCTATCTAGTTCCTGTTAGCTGAGTAGCCACATCATTTTCTTCTTTCTAAAAAAAACAAAAATAAAAAACCATCACTTCTTTCAAGCCCCAATAATCAATATTTTAAACACGGTCAATAAATCACATTGACTTGACCACTGTAAACTTGATTGTTTGAGGAAACCGATTGCCTTAAACCATTTAAATTTACTACCTAACCAAACTTAATTAAGTTAATTGTACCAATTTCATTCATTTAATTGAAGTTAAAACTAGTAAATAACTGATTCTCAGCATTCCTCCGTAATGTGTTATTTATCTGAATAAAGTAAGACTACCTTTAATGTATCTTCATTATACAAATGTTACAACTTAAATTGAGTTTACTCAGTTTTCTTCCACTAAAGCAAATTATTACATTACCTCATACATCAAAAGAGCTGACGTATGATAAAAACAATTAACAATTAATCGATGGTCAAAATGGTAGCCAATTAATTTGGCCGCTATGGGGCTTACATTTGTGTAATGATATGAAGTCAACTAAAAGAAAATGAGTCAGTGGAACAAACTGGAATTATATCACCTTAAAATACTGCACAAACGTAAGTGCACTCAACTGAGTTACTTCAACAATCGATTTCACTCAGATTGTTTTGGAGGATTAAGCTATGTTAGCGTACTTCTTTCATCAAGATAAGTTGATAAACCAGCCAACTCTACAGGGCTTTGTAGCTGCTTGAAGGTCTTTAAAAATTCTCAAAAAAGTCTCACAAATATACTAATCTCCATTTTCAACTGTAGCAGGCAGCAATGAGCAAAACATTTTGATATCCTGACTCTACACTACCAATAGCAAATACCGAAAGTTAGCAACTAAGCTAGCTAGCTGGGGAAACAAGCATAGCAGCTAACTAACGGCAGAGGTTTTTCTCAGGAGTTGGTGGAGGTCAAACCAAAGCTTAAAGGTAAAAAACACAATTCTATGTTAAAGTTAAAGTTATTTTGCTGGTCGTCTATACAAGCAATTGCCTGCTAACTGGTTAAAGCCAGGAGCCGGCTCCCGTCCGACAGCCAATTTCTTATTGTCTTTCTTTTTTTTAATAAATGAATACAAGACAGAATAATAGGATGATCCTAAAAACATATAAAATACAAACCAGAAACGCTTCACTATAGTCCCAAGCACGGTGACACTTTTGCATGTTGCATCGGTCGCCAACATACAAAACATATTTCGATAGAAATAAAACGTTCAATACATGTGTAATAGTGTTTGATGTTTTCACATTATTTAGCATAATGTCAAATGATGGTATTCTTTAAATTATGAGGTTAAATCATAAATGTACATACGTACCAATCACAGGTCAAAACATTGCTAAAATTGTCTGAGTTATAACAACCCAGAGGTGGAAAATGAAACTAAATGAAAAGCTCTCTTATTGGTGAGCTGAGCCAAATGATCTAACCCACTAAAAAAAACTAACTTTCCATCACTACTAACATTAAAAGTTGCTCCTGGATGTGAGGGTTTTCTGCCCCCAAGTGGCTATAAAATGTAATACAGCTTGTGTTGCTTCTCTGGCAATGTGACAAAAATGGCAAAGCATTTGTTTAAGAATGTCTTTTAATGTTTTCCAGTTCAGATACACAACATACAGTGTGTAATAGCCTCTATTTGAAATAGAAATATTAACTTTAATTCTTTCAACCCCTTCTGGTCATTATGCTCACTCACAGTATCTTGAGCTTCAAGCAGGTTACTGAATCAGACTAAATGAAACAGACAAACAGGTGCAAGCCTTCACTTTTCCATTCCAGCAATAAATGTTATAATAAGATATTTGGATCCTTATAATGCTTTTTCTTTTTCCCCCCTTACCTTAAGCCAACATCAAAACTGTAGTGTAAACATGTAAACTTGGTGAGTGTGCTTCCATTATCTGTTGGCTGTCCAAACCCTTGTTTCAACAAAACCCAAAAATACTGTCTTTGTAATAGTGTTTTTGGAAGCATGGGCAACTCAAACTCACATCAAACAGCTGGGTCAATTATCCCATAAACAGAATGTGCAGACAAAATTGCAAAAGGTAGCAAAACAACCACCATGATTAGAGTCTGAAATAAGACCAAAAAGAGTACAAAGGATTTCACAACCTCCCAATTACAGGTTATACTGTATGACAATGCTCAAGACAACGTGAGACACTAACAATTTAATCCACAGGCATCACAAGTAAAGTTCCTTGATTCGTGGTTTGTTTTGAGCACATTTGAAATATCCTGCCTCTCGTTTTTTCTGCCTCATTTCTCAAATCATCCCTATTTCCCCTTCCTTCATCTGTTCTCTGCAGCTGTTCTTTGGCTTTTTAACCAATGAAAGGACTCATTTCACTGAAAAGCTGCCTCGATTGATAGGATAGTGCCAGGTGTGTACGTTATGCTTTAGACAGCCGTATATGCAGTAAGAGCATTTTTATCACCACAACATTAAGGCTAACCTGAGCCCTAAGCATTCGTTTCCGTGTTTATGTTGACCTCAACCATGCTGTGGATATATATATATATATATATTTAATTATTCACGTATGTTAACAGATGTACTTATGTGCCAATAACCTATTGGAATTTGCCCTTGAGACCTAGGAAATAAAAGGAGAATAAAACATACGCATAAGTGCTAAAATCATGTTAAGTCATCTAAACTTGCACCTGTTGTCACAAAGAAAAGATCCGGCCAATCACTCAAACCAAACGACAAACATAATATTTACAAATTCCAGTTTGTTCTCTTACACTTAAAAAATGTACAGTTTGTTTCATGTGTTGGTTTTTGTTCTTTTGTCCTCGCGGCTCCAGTCCAGTGTGAGGGATGGCAGTCTGGCTCCAGAGTGTCGTTATCCTAAGCAGACAGGATACAGAACATCACAAGGCGGGGGAAGGAATCCCGCTCGCCTTGTTTTTGTGGTATATGGTGTATGAGTAATGTCTGTCATTAAAGATTTTTTTTTTTCTTAAATCAGGTTTTTAGAATGCATCGTCTGTGCATTGACAGATCATAATGTAGCTGACGAGCTATCTCGCCATCGCCATTGAATCACTGTCAGCGTTTGTCCAGTGTTGTCCTAATGTCACTGGGGTTTTTTTTTTTTTTCAGAATTGTCCAGAGTGTGACCCGTCCCTGTGTTCAGTTGTGCGAAAGATGTGAAACGCGCGTACAAGGCTTTCTCACCTTTTGACCATCATAAATATATCTTATCCTTTCTCCCGCCTTGCAGAAGGGAGAATCATGAAACAACAAAAGAGCAGACGAAAAGATAACTGTCAGGCAGTCTTCAAACACTTGAAGCACGTGGTTAATGTCAGTCACAGACAAAAACCTTATTTAGACTATTCATGTAAAGTAGTTGTTTCTTTTTTTTTTCTTTGTAACTCAAAAAAGTGCTATCTTCAGGTGAGATTGAGATGCAGTGACTGCAAACTTGACGGTTGCAAAAAAATAAAGAGAAACAGCAAAAAGAGGGAGGAAAGAAAAAGGCTTTGATCAGTCTTTCTGGTAGTTTTGCGGCACAGCCTCAGTGTTAGGAAATGAAAAAAATAAAGAGGAAATATTTACTCTCTTTGTTATAATCATAGTTTACACAATATTCATCTCTTAATACTTTAATACCTTTTTGAAGTACCACAAAGTGCAGCTGATATTAAAATAGAAAATTAAAATGATTTTCAAAATAAAAGAGAAAAAAAAACAATGAAGAACAAGGCAAATCATTGAAATGACAAACAAACTTCTCTGTCCACACTCTTTATAAAATAAAAAACATCATGCAAATATCCCAGACAGCAAAGTAGTTAATAAAACTTTATATTCTTTTTTTCTTTTAAACGAGAATATATTGAATCTGATTTCCCTTTAAAGAAGAGACCAGCCACAGTGCAACATTGAGTGTAATTAAAAAAAAAAGTGTGTGGATCAAAAAGAAAGATGAAGGGGTTGGCACTTTTTATGATGGTAATTCCTTTTGTAAGATACAGTCAGGATGGACCTCTCCAGGCGGTCCACTGGACGCCAGTGAAAGAGGAACTTTATCACAGTACTTGGCACCAAGAATGCTGGTAAAAACGAGATATCAGAATATCTTTTTTTTCATTCATATCCTTACAATTTATTAATAATACATCATTTACATTTGTGTTTTTGTATAAAAGACTCCAAAAGGAAAAGAGAGTCTAGAAGTGATTGCGAGAGAGAGGAAAGGAGTGAAGATGGAAATGGATTATGTCAATGGTTTAATAAAAAGAGCTACGAGGGCAGATGCAGAGAGAGAAAGAGTGTGAGGCAGTGAAAAAGAGAAGCAGTTAAATGGGCTGAGATGGGGATACAGACAGAGAGATAATGAGTGAGAAACAAATAAAGTAATGGACATGATTAGAGCCTGTGCGGCGGAGATGCACTGAGCTCTAATGGGCAGCCTGGATTCCAGGTTGCATCCCACAGACTGAGTATGATTCAGTTATTTCCTGTACCGCCCAACAGTTGAAGCCCCAATCTGGAAATGTTTTGAAAGCATCATTTGTGAGTAATACAGATTTTCAAAAAGCATGACTTTGGATGGCGTTTAGGTCGCATCCTAACTGAAAACAGGTACATAAATTTGTAAACAGCAGAAATTAAGTTTTAAAAACCTATGAAAAACTCATGCTTGAATGTCAAATAGTTCATTCTTGTACTTCCAGTGCTGTCAATACATTTCGCACTAAACAAAAGTCTCCAAAATCCGAACACAGAGACAACTGTTGGGACATAGCGCTCAACACAGGGTGCCAAATTTCACTTCCAGATTGGGCCTTTAAAGCTGCAATTTGTAAGTTTCAAGAAATCACCGCTTTATGACAGACAGCTTGTTGGGGCATATGTTGCCTCATACAAAGCTGCTCGCTACTGTATTATCTTTTCGCTAAATGGATGAGAATGAATGTATGTATTCTATGTCAAACATAGTTTTACATTGACACAACAACACATGCGCAAAACAATCAAGCTACACATAAGATGCCTGACTGATTGTGATTAGCTCAATACCTCTTTGAGAGAGAGCTACAAGCCTAAAGCTGCGTTTGGTGGCTCACCTAGTAAGCGAGAGATATTGAAAGAGCTGTAACAGGGCAAAGCAGTATGTACCTATGACAGGATTTTGGCAAAGGAGCTTTTTTAATCAACTCCTTCTTGATTTATGATTTCGTTTTAGAGGTATTTCACTGCTTAAAATCTTACAAACTGCAGCTTTATTTGAGGGCTTAATGAGAAAAGACAATGATATAGTAAAGAAGAATAGAGGGGGGTGAGAGTGGATTTGTATGGAGCAGTTTGTGTGGTGCGTCTCTTTAAGCCCAGAGTGGGGTTGTGCCTGGTCCTATACACGGGTGGTGGAGTGTTGGTGTGGCAGGGCATTGTTGCTGTGGCTGGGGACAGGTGTAGTGGAGGGGGCCGGGACTGGGGGATAAGTGTTGAAGGGGTGGAGGGGCTGCATGCTGCTGATGGTGCTGGGGATCATGGTGATGGTATTTGCTGTCATCAGTGGCACATCCTCCGGTGCCCGCCGCAGGGCCAGCGTGTAGTCAGGTGGGCACACTGGCGGTCGCAGGGGTTCCAGGTCACCGAGGACGCCGCGGGAAGGGAGGGGGGTGCCGTGCTCCAGCTCCACTCTTTGCTGCTTCATCTGCAGTGACATCAGCTCCTCTTCCTGACTCAGCGCCAGGTCATTGTGCGGTGGGGCCCCTACAACTCCCATGCCAACACCCATGCCCATCGTAGTGCCACGTTGCGGGGACAGTCGGCGGTGACGTCTCTGCATGAGTTCATGACGCTTATCCCGTTTGTAGTAAAGCGCGGCAAAGGCCAGCACATTCAGGAAAAGAAGCGAGGCGCCCACAGCAACTGTCACACTCAGCTCGGTGGAGTAGTCCCTAGTCTCACTGGGGAAGGGAGGGTAGCGGGGTCTCTCTGAACCATCGGGCTCAGGATCAGGCGGATAAGTGGAGATTACAGGGTGGGGTGTGGAGCGGGTGCCAGGGCTGTGAGGGCCCTTCCAGCGGTTGGTGCCTCCGGGTGGCAGACGAGTTGTGATGGAGCTAATGATTTCCTTGTGGAGGCTGTGGAGATGCGGCACCAGCTCCAGCCAGAAGGCCACCTTGTTGGCCCGGTAGTTGTCTCTGACCCGGGGCTTCAGGCCGATATGCAAGTACTGCTTGTCTTTGGAGCTGAACTTGGTCCAGATGACCTCCTCAAAGCGGTTGGGCTTGGTGTGGATGAAGGTGGTGTCCTGAGGAACTGGCAGGTTTGGATCCCTGGCAGAGAGAAATAATCAAAATATTCTTTTATGCTAAGGATTATTAATCACTAAGTTATTAACTTAGCATTACCTGTGTTGCTAATACAGCGATTAAATATACCAAAAAACAAGAACAAGACAAACAAGCTATTTGAAAGAAGTCAATCATCACTGTGTTACATATCATCTTTTGAATACTACATACTGTACACACTGTGTATTACTTTATATTTTAATAAGATAAATGCACTTAATATCAGAAATTAGTCATTGTTAAATTTGGCATTATACTAACCCTGTCTTTGCAAAGTTGGTCCAATATGTCATGACTACAGCACTGAGCATGACATCGTTCTTGGAGAAGTTACACGGAAACAGGTCAGTGGCTCCCACCATGGGAATCCCAAACACATAGGGGATCTCATCTCCGTGGGCTGCGTCTGCCCAGTCTGGCCTTGCCTCAGTCTGACAGTGGTGGTGGAAGGTATAGAAAAAGACGGGCGACTGGAACTCAGCGTGCAGTTTGGCAGTGGCGACAGCCGGGGCCACCCACTGATGGTCCGTGAACAGAGCCAGGAGGGTCTTCCTCCGCATGTCACTGTTGTCCCGGTCAGCCCAGTCTGTGTACATGAACTTTATGGTTTCCCTCAAGATATCTTTACCTTGGAGGAAACAAAAAGCAACGTGAGTATGCACGCAGTTAAAGTGTGTGGTTATCTGCAACATCAGGTGGAAGAAGTTCTGCTACTTCAGTGTGCTGTTTCCTCATGCCAAATAAATGATTAAAGAAGTTATCTGTTCATCTTTTTTTCAGTTAGACAACTGCTCACAGAGGCGAATCAATGTCACAAGCGGGCCTTGAGGGACCACTACAGCTGCAATGTGAGGGTCACATTACTGACGAAGACAGACAAAGGCGTCAGCAATCTAGTTTTCGGTAGACTCACTAGCTAGGAGACAGTTAATTAGTGAAGAAGTGCAAAAGACAACTGTCCCTGCAAAATGGATCTACTTTACAGCAAAGGGAAGAACGCAACAGAGCTTGTTAATCAATCTGCTGCGTTTATTTATTGAACTCCATTACTTTTTGACATAGCAGTATTTTGTAATTGTGATTCGAGTGCAAACTTATAGTTAATCAAATTTTGAACGTTTTTTCTGTATTACATTTCTATTATCACAGTGTTTTCCCTCAGGGTCTTTAATGTGTGGGTGTGTATCTCAGCATTAGACTCCTACAAGCTCTGTTCAGAGTGTCTAGGAGAAGCATCAGATAAAGAAGAGCAAACATCTCAATGCTACTGACGCAGAAAAACGTGATTGATTTTCAAATATCAACAGCCAGCAGTACACA